GAAGGACAAGGTTCTCGAATGTTCAAGAACTTCTTAAGTCGAAGAATCATATTTACTGCTAAAATGAATGAATAAACCTTAAATTGTGTTGTTTCCTGGCATAGAGCTTTTAAGTGAGGGTGATGAGGGAAATGTTTACTGGGGCGTTGTGTGGCACTGTCGTGTGGCCCTGTGCCACAGCATGCCGTGTGGCCCTGTGCCACAGCATGCCGTGTGGCCCTGTGCCACAGCATGCCATGTGGCCCTGTGCCACAGCATGCCATGTGGCCCTGTGCCACAGCATGCCATGTGGCCCTGTGCACAGCATGCCATGTGGCCCTGTGCCACAGCATGCCATGTGGCCCTGTGCCACAGCATGCCATGTGGCCCTGTGCCACAGCATGCCATGTGGCCCTGTGCCACAGCATGCCATGTGGCCCTGTGCCACAGCATGCCATGTGGCCCTGTGCCACAGCATGCCCTGTGCCACAGCATGCCCTGTGCCACAGCATGCCATGTGGCCCTGTGCCACAGCATGCCATGTGGCCCTGTGCCACAGCATGCCATGTGGCCCTGTGCCACAGCATGCCATGTGGCCCTGTGCCACATAATGCGCTTCACTTTAGAAGGTGTCAACATCAGCCTCCAAACTGAGGCGCTGCAGGGGAGTTTAACGGACTCCATTTGTACAAATTCTCCGACTAATGAACACTGACCCTGATAGATTAGGTGAGTTTGTCTAGGTTCGTACGCTCCTGGGTAGTCAGAACTACTTGAGAATTGTCACTGAGGATAGTCTCAAGTGTGTTCCCACCCTTCACACACTAGCCTGGACATACTCCCACCCTTCACACACTAGCCTGGACATACTCCCACCCTTCACACACTAGCCTGGACATACTACCACCCTTCACACACTAGCCTGGACATACTCCCACCCTTCACACACTAGCCTGGACATACTCCCACCCTTCACACACTAGCCTGGACATACTCCCACCCTTCACACACTAGCCTGGACATACTCCCACCCTTCACACACTAGCCTGGACATACTCCCACCCTTCACACACTAGCCTGGACATACTCCCACCCTTCACACTAGCCTGGACATACTCAGCTACACATCCTCTCTGCTCCCCCCTTTACTGAGCGATACTTCTCCTCTGAACGATGTTTTTCGTACTACTGATTCAGGCTTGATCGAGGTGTGTGTTCGAGTCTGTAAACGGCTTCTTGAGGTTATCTTGAGATGATTTCGGGGCTTAGCGTCCCCGCGGCCCGGTCCTCGACCAGGCCTCTTTTTTGTTACACATCCCCAGAAAGCAGCCCATAGCAGCTGTCTAAATCACAGGTACATATTTACTGCAAGGTAAACGGGCACATCAGGGTGAAAGAACTGCCCGTTTGTTTCGCCTCCACCGGGGATCGAACCCGAAACCTTAGGACTACAAATCCCGAGCGCTGTCCACTCAGCTGTCAGGCCCTCACCCCACCCACAGAAGGAAGCATGTGGAGGTCAGTGAATACTGGTAATAGGTTTACTGCAGACAGTGCATGTGTTTTAAACCCTAATGGGTTTTAATGGGGTTTGCCCTCGTTTGCAATTAGGTGGTGGGTGCATAAGTTGCAGGGGGGCGTGTCAACATGAAAGCTTCCGTGACACAGGTCATTTGCGGCACTAACGAGCCGCTGGTGCGTCGCTCCGACTAGTTACTCTCTGTCAGCCTCGACTAATATGGCTAACAGCCCATTACAGGAGACCACACCGCGACAAATGGCACTGTACGTAGCTCTGTGCTGCTAGGGGGCAGGGGGGGTCCTGGGGGGTGGCAGGGGGCAGGGAGGGGTCCTGGGGGGTGGCAGGCGGCAGGGAGGGTTCCTGGGGGGTGGCAGGGGGCAGGGAGGGTTCCATGGGGGGTGGCAGGGGGGCAGGGAGGGGTCCTGGGGGGTGGCAGGGGGCAGGGAGGGTTCCTGGGGGGGTGGCAGGGGGCAGCGAGGGGTCCTGGGGGGGGTGGCAGGGGGCAGGGAGGGTTCCTGGGGGGTGGCAGGGGGCAGGGAGGGGTCCTGGGGGGTGGCAGGGGGCAGGGAGGGTTCCTGGGGGGGGGTGGCAGGGGGCAGCGAGGGGTCCTGGGGGGGTGGCAGGGGGCAGCGAGGGGTCATGGGGGGTGGCAGGAGGCAGGGAGGGGTCCTGGGGGATGGCAGGGGGCAGGAGAGGTCCTGGGGGGTGGCAGGGGCAGGGAGGATTCCTGGGGGGTGGCAGGGGCAGGGAGGATTCCTGGGAGGTGGCAGGGAGCAGGGAGGGGTCCTGGGGGGTGGCAGGGGGGCAGGGAGGGGTCCTGGGGGGTGGCAGGGGGCAGGGAGGGTTCCTGGGGGGGTGGCAGGGGGGCAGCGAGGGTTTCTGGGGGTGGCAGGGGGGCAGGGAGGGGTCATGGGGGGTGGCAGGGGGGCAGGGAGGGGTCCTGGGGGGTGGCAGGGGGCAGGGAGGGGTCCTCGGGGGTGGCAGGGGGCAGGGAGGATTCCTGGGGGGTGGCAGGGGGGCAGCGAGGGTTTTGGGGGGTGGCAGGGGGCAGGGAGGGGTCCTGGGGGGGTGGCAGGGGGCAGCGAGGGCTCCTGGGGGATGGCAGAGGGGCAGGGAGAGGTCCTGGGGGGTGGCAGGGGGCAGGGAGGGTTCCTGGGGGGTGGCAGGGGGGCAGGGAGGGTTCCTGGGGGGTGGCAGGGGGGCAGGGAGAGTTCCTGGGGGGTGGCAGGGGGGCAGGGAGGGGTCCTGGGGGGTGGCAGGGGGGCAGGGAGGGGTCCTGGGGGGTGGCAGGGGGGCAGGGAGGGGTCCTGGGGGGTGGCAGGGGGCAGGGAGGGGTCCTCGGGGGTGGCAGGGGGCAGGGAGGATTCTGGGGGGTGGCAGGGGGCAGGGAGGGTTCCTGGGGGGTGGCAGGGGGGCAGCGAGGGTTTCTGGGGGGTGGCGGAGGCCAGGGAGGGGTCCTGGGGGGTGGCAGGGGGCAGGGAGGGGTCCTGGGGGGTGGCAGGGGGCAGCGAGGGCTCCTGGGGGGTGGCAGGGGGGCAGGGAGGGGTCTTGGGGGTGGCAGGGGGGCAGGGAGGGGTCTGGGGGTGGCAGGGGGGCAGGGAGGGGTCCTGGGGGGTGGCAGGGGGACAGGGAGGGGTCCTGGGGGGTGGCAGGGGGGCAGAGAGGGCTCCTGGTAACTAGGATAGCGTCTAGTCTTAACGTTTATCTTACATTCCCTCTTCCAACAGTTTCGGTTCAGTATCTCTACAATAACTCTCCGCCTT